GTGATGGAAGAAGCCATGCTGATCCTAGGAGAAGAGAAGATGAATGTTAAACACAAATGACCTAAGGCAGGAGTATGTCTGGAGTGTTCCAAGAACAGCCAGGAGGCCAGTGTGGCTGGGGTGGAGAGAGGGTAGCGAGGAGTAGGAAGAGAGAAGACCTCTCCTCAAGACAGGTAACTATTATTGTCTTAATCATGATAAAGGACCCTATGAATCTAATCTCTAGTTTTTAGTTTATTTACGCTATGACTGCAGAGAAATCCTGAACTAGTTACCTGGAGTGATGGTTCTTAACTTGTAAAGCGTGGATAGGTTAGAGATGTATTTCACAAAACTATGACTAGAGGAAATCAATATATCTTAGTGATGATATGTGTGCTTTAATTGATGGATCGTAGTTCACACTCTGACATCCTTACTGTGCCCTTAAACATATATGACTTCTCCATGCTTCAAGTTCCATCTCTGTGAAACAAGGCAACTAAAAGTGCCTCCTTTTGAGTTGTGAGGGTTGTAGGAGAGGGTCCTAGCACAGTGCTTGGCACATAGAAAGTACTAAATAAATATCGTGATGATTTCTTCGAAAAGTCTAATTAGTAGGATTAAGTATTTTGAAATCTCTATTCAGTGTACACCTGAAATGTATGTTTAATAACCAGAACATACTTTTGAGCAAAAACGTCTTGTTATTACTAGTGATGGTACCTAACTTCCAAGATGATCCCCAATGACCTATCTCTGAGAATTCACACTCCTGTATAGTTCCCTCCCACATTATCCCAGGGTTTGTCTATGTGACCATAGGATATGGCAGGAATGATGGCATTTCACTTTTGACGTTAGGTTATAAAAGGCATTGCAGCTATCACCTTGGTCATGCGTGCTCGCTTGCTCTCTCTCTTTCTCTCTCTCTCTCTGTCTCAACCATCACTTGCTCTGGGGATGCTAGCTGCCATGTTGTGAAAAGCCCTATGGAAAGGAGGCCAATGAAGAGGCACTCCCTGTAAAGAGGTTCACATGACAAGGAACTGAGGCCTACTGCCAACAGCCATGAAAGTCAGAGCCTTCTTGGAAGTGGATCTGCCAGCCCTGGTCAAGATTTCAGGTGACAGCAGCCCTCATTGACATTTTGACTGCAATTTCATGAGAGACCCTGAACCAGAGCCATCCAGCTAGGAAGCTCCCAGCTTCCTGACCCTCAGAAATAGTGTGAGATGGTAAATGTTTATTGTCTCAAGCTTTTAAGTTTGGGGGTGATTTGTTTATGCAGCAATAAATAACTAATACAATAGTCTATATAAAAGTTTTAATTAACTTCCAATTATAAAAAATTTATTGGCCTTTAACCTATTTCTACCACTTTTGATCTTTAAAGATTACCACTGATCTTTAGTAGTTTACAAGCATTTATTTTCGACATAGTTGTTATCAGTGTATGCACTTTACTTTGTGTTTGATTTTTCCCTTAGAATCATCATAAGTATCAACAAATCGCAACATTCTTAGCATTTTTACCAGCTATCTAGCATTCTTCCCTATGGCTATGTGGTATCATCTCAAACATGCTCTTCTGTAGGACACTTGAGTTACTTTCAGTTTTAAAAATATAACAAAATAATAACTGGCGGAATAAAAATAGTGCCAATTAGCTGGGCAATACTGAGAGTTAAATACACAAAAGGTGGACAACATAAAGAGGGGAGTTCTCAAAGGTACACAGACCAGAACAGACACTGAACACGTGCACTGGTTAGATGTGACCTGCCCTGCCCGTTAGGCTGACCTCAGAGGGTGAGTGCAAAGGAGCTGGGTGAGCTTATTTGTTAAGACAATCATAATAATAGCTTTCTAGAATTCTGTGTGTTTCCTGGAGAAACACAGGAATGACAGTAGATAATAAAACCTTTGGAAAATCCTACAAGTAATTGCCTTGGGTTAAGTCTCAAAGCTGAATTTTAGAGAGGGTACTCCTGAACTAACACCATTATCCCAGACTCTGTGTGTCTGCCTCCTCCCCTTTCAGCATTTTCCTCCCCTCCTTTGGCTGTGCTTTGTCAGGCTATACAATTGTGCCTGGAAAAAAAAAGTTGACTAAGCCCTTTTTTGTTGAAATTCGGTGCTATGTTATATACGTACCACATCTCCTTTGAATACAGCATTCTTTAAAAGGCTCTGACGTAACCAGGGAGCCATTATTTATCCAGCTTAGATTACAGGTATGCAAGCCATCTTTAACATTTAAAACATAATTTGTGATTAAAGGGAGCTATACTTACCATATCAAGGAACATTAAATATGACTTACTCTGAAATCTCATCAGGCTCATGCTTATCTATCTATATTGAACTAGACACAGCCCTCTCAAAGGGGAGAAAAGTTGACTTCTTTAGTAACAAGACTAAGGTTGTATTGACATCAGTGTTCCCTATTAGGTTTCACCTGTGATAATTGTCAATTGAATGTGGGGCAGCCTGCTTCCCTCCCCTCAGCGTCCCTGCCACCCATGGAAGACTCCCCTCCCCATTCAGCTTCAGTCAGACAATCTTCGTTTTTCTCTTCCATTAAAAATTTGATGAAAAGGCTCCCCAATTTTTTGAAAACTACTGGGTTAGAGAATGGTGCTATGAGGTCAAGGTCAAAAAGGTCACCAGGTCAGGGTTTCCTTGCCAAGGGAGAAAAGGCTTTAGTGACAATGATCCAGTGCAAAGTTATCACTAACGTAAGTTTTTTTAAAATGTTATACACATGCTATCTTAGCCAGAGTGATCAGTGCTGAGTTCTGGCTCTACACTCTGGCAACCTGGGTTCGAATCCTGCCTCCACCAGTCAGCACACTGGCTTCCAACAGATATTTGAACCTCCCTAAACCTCCATCTTCAGTTTTACAAATTGCAGATAATAATCATGCCTACCTCAGAGGAGGAGTAAGTTCTCAATAAGTGTTATAGATTATTAAAATTATATTGTTTTAATAATAAAAAAAAATAATAATACTTTATATCCCTCTCAAGCCAAAGTCTATCATATTACAGTTAATTCGTGCATGTATTAACGAAACTAAAAGACAGGTAGCTTCTTGGTATTCTTCATCTTTGTGTCCTTAACAAATCTTAACCCAGTGCTTTGGGCATGGTAGGCCCTCAATAAATATGTTAAAAAATGAATGTTATAAATATAGTAGGTCTTCAGAGACAGGCTTGTACACATAATCCCTCCACTTAGCATCCTAGGAGAATGTCATATACCTTTTGAATGCTCTATACATATTTTATAATAGTAACAATAATATAATAAAGATTATAATTATGAATAAAGATTATTCTTGGCTCCAATTTCCTGAACTAGGGTTATGTCCTTCAGCAACATATAGTACGTATTCAAACGGCTTCAGCTGAATGTAAACTGAACTCTCACTTGTGCAACAATGAAAGCAAATGAATCAATGTGTCTTTTACCTTTCAAATAGTTATTTCCAGGAACTACAAGTGTAGGGCTATCATGTTATAGGTTGAAATAAATTAGGTCTCTTTTCTTTCTAGATTTAGATAATTATTTTATGTGTTTTTTGATACAAGCAGCAACTAGATTAGACATTCATTTCCTAAGCTTCATAATGCTTATAACTAAGTAGCAAACCAACTAGTAAAATCTAAAAATATGAGCTTTGGTATAAAGAAAGGAAGAGAGTGGGCCCTATGGGCCATTCCCTTCTGCTCCTCTAATTTTAGGTTTCTCACACAAGGCAGGTTGAAGCACTCTCCTGGAAGAGGAAACCACAGAGCCACTGGCAGTAGGTAAGTCCTCCAGATTGTGAGTCACAGACTAGCATTTTGTAGTATTAATAAATGTCCCTTAAAAAGAAGACTCCTTGTTGGCAGTAAGACTTCGGGCAAGGGTGAGGGAACACACAGCTTTCCTTGGTAAAATCTAGAACCCCCAAGGTTGGCATTGGAAAATGATCTGCAGGTGGTGACTCCAGCTGTGTTACCTGCATAGTCCCCCTTTGCTCCCCAGTTTACTTTTTCTTTGAGACTCACTTGTGACCCAGGTTTGCACATGCACTTTCTTTCACACATACCTCCCCCACACATTCCTGCCACAACTTCTTGTGAATACTCTGGCATGAAGCCAGACGAAACCTCTACCCTCACATCTCTAAAATATTTGAGAATGATTAAAATAAAATTTAAAAAAAACAAACTAAAAAACTAAAAAAAACTCAACGATAACTGTGGTATCATTGTTAAAAAGAAAAATGAAATGAAGAGTATGAGGAAGGAAATTACTTCCAGGGCCTGCCCCAATTCTACCTGTCCCAAGGTCTGGTATGAGTTTGGTCACCTCTTGCTTGGGTATCTTCCTCACTCACTCCTGATTTATCTCCTTGCTATCATGTATGTGAGTGGGTCTGGTGTACAGGACACTCAGAGTCCTAGATTCCTACCTGGAGCATACCCAAGGCCCATTTGCTCTGTGAGGTTTGATCCTTTCTGTGATTTGGCTAAGCCAGTAGGTGGTATTATTTCCATTTTATAGACAAGGAGCTTGAGGCTCAGTGAGGTTAAAGAGTTGGCTGCTGGTGTTTGCATACAATTCTTAGTATATGGCAGATGACTAATTCCATTACATGAAAGTCCATCATGTAAATGGTTTGATAGAGTATATCTCAGAACCAGAGCAGATGCTCTTTAACTGCAAAGCTTGTATAACTATGCAGTTATTAATGTACTAGGTGAGCTTAACTGAATCTAGAAGGAATAGGCACGGGACAAATTAGTTTTGATGGGAAAGGAGGGAGAGGAGAAGGTTCTGAATGTGGGGATGCTATCAGTAAGACAGTCCTTCTTATGACCCCAGGTGTAGAGTGCAGGGTCACATGATGTCATTGGAGGTAATATCAAACAAATAATTAATGTATGTTAAAAAAAAAAAAAGGGCCTGAAGGAAATTTGTTATAATCTTAATTGTGGCTATATCTAGGTGAGAGAGCCATAAGTGATTATTTTTTCTTTATCCTTTTTAATATTTTTCCAAAGTTTTTCTTAAAATAGGCATGCATTACTTTTAGTCTGAAAAACTCTTGTGTTAGCTTATAAGTGTAAGTTTATGTTATATTGTAAAAATATATGACTACCAAATTAAAAAGTATGAGTTTCAAGGGACATTATCAAGAAAGTGAAAAGGCAACTCACGGAATGGGAGAAAAATTTACAAATCATGTACCAGATAAAGGACTGGCATCACTTATCAGATATAAATAAGTCCCATTACAATGCAACAATAAAATGACACATAACCCAATTTAAAAATGGGCAAAGGATTGAATAGACATTTCTCCAGAGAAGATATACAAATAGCTAATAAAGATATGAAAAGATGCTCAACATTATTAGTCATTAAGGAAATGCAAATGAAAACCACCAGATACTACTTTATACCCACTAGGATACATACAATTAAAAATATGACAATAACAACTGTTGTCAAGGATTTGGAGAAATTAGAACCCTTATAAAGGGAATGTAAAATAGTACATCCACTGTGAAAGGCTTGTTAGTTCCTCAAAAAGTTAATTATAGAGTTATCATTTAGCCAAGAAATTCTACTTCTAGATATATACTCAAGAAATGAAAACATGTTTACATGAAAACTTGTACATAAATGTTCATAGCAGCATTATTCATAAGAGCCAAAAAATAGAAATAGTCCAAAATGTCTTTCAAGGTATGACTAGATAATCAAAGTGTGGTATTATCCAAAAATGGAATATTATTCGGCTATAAAAGGGAATGAAGTACTGATACATGCTACAGCATGGATGAACCTTGAAAATATTGTTAAATTTAAGAAGCCAGACCCGAAAGCTACATATTGTGTTTCTATTTATAAGTAATGTCCAGAATAGGCAAATCCATAAAGAGGGAAAGTGGATTAGTGGTTGTCTGGAGCTAAGGGTAGTGAGGGCTAGGGAAAAACTATAATGGATTTTTTATTGGAATGATAGTGGCGATAGTTACCTAATTTTGTGAATATATTCAAAATCATTGAATTATACAGTTTAAGATTAAATTATACAGTATGTGAATTGTATCTCCATAAAAAACATTACTAAGAATGAAGTAAATTTTTAATATAAATCCCCTGAAAAATCTACCATACTTTTTTGATTAGGTTTGCTTACTTTTGAGGCCTATGAAATACTTACTAAATGTAAGGAAATAGGAATACTTACTAAATGTGCAGGGTATTTCGTGTATGCAGGAACGCTCCTGCCTGATTCTCCCCTCCCCTCTCATTACCTTGGGAAGAAGTATTTTTTTCATAGAATTATAGACATTTGCGGGTTGAGATTTAAGAGATGACCCACTGAATCCATATACCCTATTCTACAGATGAAGAAACTGAGGCCCAGAAGGAACAATTCGATTACTGTCACCTGGTGAGCTGGCAAAGGAGCTAAGACTAAAAATAAGATTTCTTGTCTGCGTTATCTTTGAGCTGCCCTTTGCCTGTCCTCTTAACAGGCAGGGGTCATCAATTTCAGGAATTTGCAGGTGTTCTTTGCCACCAACAGGTAGGGAAGCATTGATTTCACGGCTTCTTTTCTTCAGAGGCCAGCATTTCACCTTGTGAGGTTTAATGACTCTTCACTTTAACCTACTTGCAAATATACTGTCACATGTTTAAGGCCCCGCTGGGTGTGTGCAGTACTAGAAGCTAGGGAGAGCCCTCCTCCCTCCCCCAAGAAAATCAGGGAGGTTGGCATTAGAGAGCTGGCATTAATGTTTTTTGTCTTGGTTATTCTTGGTTTTTATAAAGTCGGTCCTTGTCCTGTTTATTAAAATCTTCAATGTGAAAGAAGACTCGGTCTCTTGCACCCAGTGAGATTGCTCTGAATCGAGTACCGTCTTAGCTCGGTCCTCAGCTTCGGAGGCAGGCACTGCGTCGTCTTTGGAGTACCCCAAACCTCAAACCTCCTGGACACGAATCCTCTCCTTTCCACCCAGGATTCTGTCTTGAGGAGCAGGAGCGAACTCACGGAGGACACAATGCCAGTCCAGAGAACCGCGGCAAGTTTCTGGCTACCTGGGAGACTGTCCCGCTCAAGCACCTGCAGGAATCAAGAGCCCTGCACGCTTGAGTGCCCCTCTCACCCCGGACCAGAAAACCACCCCATAGCCGTAGAACCAATTCTAGCCGAGTGGAGGGAGGCGGCAGTAAAAAGGCATTTGCAGGGAGTGTTAACATACCACCCTCCGCCTTTCAGGGATGCCTCTGGGGCAGAGATAATAGATCTGAACTGACGCAAGTTTCACTGGGGGATGGGCTTTATCCCTCCCTCAAGGAGAAAAAGTAATCACTGGTGGGCAGTAGAAACGTGCTGGGGCGAGGTTAACTCCTCGGCCTGGTTCTCGCTCTGCAGAGCACGGCTGGCCGGGTGCGGCGGAGGAGGTGCGCAAAGGTGCCTCGTGGGCATGGTGGAGTTGAAGCCGCGCGCAGGCGCACTGGGGCCTGGCCACCGGTCGGTCCCGGGGTACAAAGAAGCGCGCCCGAGAGCCGGGGTCCCTGGAAGTCTCGGGAGCTGCCTGGGGCTCCCTCCCGCCCCGCTCCGAGACGAAGCCACAGTCTTTTCCCACCTGCCGTCTGAGGCTTCCCACTCTCGCCCGACTTCTTCGCCTTTGCCTTGGCTGCGGGGCCCGGGTGGATGCGCTGCGTTCTGAGGTTTAATTCTGGCGCTGGCTAGCAAAGGCGGCTCCGCCCCTCCGCCCCGCCCCTCCACCGAGGGCCGGGAGCTCCGCCGAGCCAGCGAGCGATCGGGCCAGTGCTGCAGGTTGGGAGGAGCGCCTGGAGGTGAGTGGAGCTGGGGGCTACTCTGCGCCCTTTCCCTGGGCGGGGTGGGCGTGGGGGCACCTGGGCTCCGACCTCTGCTCCGGGGCCGGCCTCCGCGCCCAGCTACGCAAACTTGGCGCGCGCCGGGGGCGCACGGCGGCAGTGGCGGGGTCGGAGGGCAGCCCTGCCGGCTCCCGCTCGCCCGGGTTTCCCCGGCGGCCTCAGGGCGGGCCTAGGGACGGGGTCCGAGAGGTTGCTTGGACTCGGGGGCACCCTGGATTTGGGGCGCGCCGCAGTGGCGGGGCTCGGCCCGTGTGGAAGGGAAGCGCGGGGCGCCAGACTCGGGGTAGCGGGAAAGTTCGGGCCGGGCGGCGGGAGGGAGCGGGCGCCTCCCGGCCCATGGCCGGGGCGCACGGTCCTTGGGGGCCCCCGGGCCTTTTATCAGCCCAGGATGGGGTGAGAGGTCCTCTTTGAGACGTCTCCCCTTGAAAGTCTCGGTGCCGTTCCACGGAAGGGACTGGCGGACGATCCCTTTATCCCTCTGCCCCAGAGCGGCAGGTGGCCTCGGGTCTTCCTCAGCCGACTTGGAGAAGGCTCGGGCCTCGGTCGCAAGGGCCAGGAGGTGGGAGGACCTCTGGGCCTCCGGGGCCCGCCGAACGCGTTCGGGACAGCGGTGCTTCTGGAGGATCCGGTCGACGGAAAGTGCGAGCGCCGATAAAGCCGACTTGGTCCCTGAACGCCCCCCTCTAACATGCCACTTAGGCAGACACGCTGAGAATGCTGCAGTCGGGTCAGCTACTTTCCCTTGACGGTTCACCCTCCTCCACCTGGGTCCCCGTGGAACTTCCAGACGGAACTTTTCGTGGTGAGTCCTGCAGGTCAGAAAGAGATCTGCACCGAGGTGAAGGCTTTGGCCAAGTTAGCATGAAAAACAATCTGTGGCGTCCCCCAGCGCTCGCTCTCTGCATGTCGTCTCCACGGAGGTTCATCTTATATTAATTAATGAAATATATCAGAACGAGAGCTCTGAGACTACCAGGGAAGGTTAATTAACCAGATCTTTAATTGTGCATTTTCTTGCCCCCACCTTCATCTCCCCCAACTGAGCGAGAATGTTATCAGGACCTGTTTCCTCGTTTTTAATTTATGAGTTTATTCATCTTGATTTTTAGATGGTGCTTAGCACTTTACTTGATAGTTGTCCCTTTCATCCAACTTTCTCTAAAAAAAGTTGGGCACACCCACCTTTATTTTAAAAAGTGAGGTACAATAAACATGCAATAAATTTACCCTTTTAAAGTGTACAATTATATAGTTTTTAGTATATTCACAATTGTGCAATCATCATTACTAATTCCACACATTTTCCAAAAAGAAGCCCTAAGCCTATTAGCAGTTATCCAATAGCAGTCACTTCCCATTTCACCCTTCCCCAGTCTAGTAGTCCCTCATTTTTAAGGTGAAGTCTTCCAAAGGTGGAGATTGAGAAAACTGAGAGATTATTAATTTCGGTTCTTTTTCAGTTAATAGATTTGGGGAAAGGTGCTGCTGCTGAGGCACTGGGAAAAAAATTAAGCATGGGCTGTCCTATGTCCAGATTAAAATGTCTAAGGATGGAAGAAAAGCCCCCAGTGGAAGAATAATTGCCTCCTTTAAAGATACACAAATTAGGAATGCATTTTATCTCCAAAGGGCACAAGGGTGCTTTGGGGACATTCTTTATGCACTTTATATTAGCCAAGTCTACAAATCGCTCTAGTTGAGGTTCTGCCTCAGCAAAAGTGGGTGGTGTGTGTGTGTGTGTTTGCGCACGCGCGTTGGGTAAGGAGATGTTAGAGAAAAAAGACTGCAGATTTAAAAATAGTTTTTTCTTTAAGTCATCCAAAATAACCTTAAAGAAGGAAACCGCAAGCAAATGCCCACTGGAATCAATACACTCAAGACAGGTTTTATCCATATCAGCATCTGCTCACAAATAGTCTGCATGAGCTAAAGTTCACGTGCATTAACCCCGCCTGGTCCCGGGAGGAAGTAGATGGGAAAGGGTTTAGTTGAAGAAAATTCAAGGACTTGGGGAGGAGATAGGAGAATGGCTGAAAGGCGAGGGCTTGTGGGAACTGAGGTCTGTTAAACTGGGGTAGCTGTAGGATGAAAAGATTCAGAGGCAGCAGATGGGATCTTAGGGAAAAATTAACAGATAATTCACTCAGGCATTTGCTGGATTTTTTGTGCATGTTTTAAAAATCACGTTTTAGTGATTAGAGTTGAAGCTAAGTAAATTACGTAACAACCAGCACACTTCTCTTCCACTCTTGAATCAAATAGAGAAGCCAACTTGGTTTCAAATGTTTCAGGAAATTTTAGGCCTCTTGTGTACGTGGCTTAGGTTACACCATTTTAAAAAGTAATTTAAAAAACTGAACTATACAATACATACAAATATTAAGTGTACAGTATGTCAGATTTTCACAAAGTGAGCATAAACTTACAGCTAGCACCAAGATCAAGAAATAGAATATTGCCATATTGCAGAAAGCCCCTCATGCTCCTTTCCAGTCACTGTCCTTCCCCAAAGGATAATCCAGCCATATACTAGTTTTGCCTGTTTTCATGTTTTGTATACATGGCATCATAGAGTATGTATTTTTTCATATATCTGGCTTCTTTCTCTCAACATTTTTGCTTGTGAGGTTTAGCCATGATGTTACATGTAGTTGTAGTTCAGTCAGTATCATTGCTGGCCCATATTCCAATGTATGATTATACCCCAGTTTATCCATTCTAGGGTTAATGGGATTTGAGTAGTTTCCAAATTTTGTCAATGGCAAATAGTGTGTCTTACGGACATTCTAAGTGCATGTCTTGATACACATGTACAGATTTGTATTGTGTATATATTCAGGAGAATGTCTGAGTTCTGAACTAGTATTCATTTAGAAGATACTACCAAACAGATTTCAAAATAGTTGTATAGTTTATATTTCTACCAGCAGTATATGAGAGTTCTGTCCTATCCTTTTTTAAATTGCAAAAGCAGTAGACCTACTGAGATTTTGGCAAATGAACAAAAGATGACCTATATTTGCCCCATCTCAGCAGACTGATTATTTCTGTTGTTTTCAATTCCAGTGCTTTTCCATGTCTTCATATTTTTAGGGAGTCATAATCCTAATATTTTCTATTGTTTATGTTTTAACACTGTATCTTAACATTGCTCCAGTCTCCATGACTTTTTAAGTCCTGTGCATGTCCACAATCCTGTGGGAATGTTTTCATTTAATAATCCCCCCATCATTGGAAATTACTTAATTTTTATAGTTTTACTAGTATATATTGCTGAAAAAATCATCCTTATACATATAGTTTTTCCACTTCTTTTAGATTATTTCAAACTAGAGACTTTCCTTTTGATAGTTCTGGATCCTTATTGTTAAACTACTACCTGCAGATTCAAATTGTCCATGAATCTAGTACAGAACTGAGGAAAGAAATCTTTAAACTGCTGATATGTTACTTGCAAAATGGTGTCTCATTGGTTTAAATTGCAGTTCTCAAAGCAAAAGTGAGGTTGATCTTGGTATCGTCTTTTTAATAAAGAGCATAAGTGGAACTTTTGTTGTAATCTCATTTACCAATCATGTACTATTTTTCTTTATAGGCTACTTTTTGCAAAGGTACTGAGCTAGGAGCTTTAGGGGATATCGGAAGGATCATACCATTAAGTAGTTTATTGTCCAGAAATCATATATAAAAATTAATAATACCACTTGGGCAGAATTCTTATATGTGACAAAAGAATATTTAGTTTACTTAACAGACATTGAGTGCTTATATGAGTTCTTAGTCGAAAGAGGTCTTTCTTGCCTGGTTGGATAAGATCAGCTTCCTTAAACAGTAAGACTTGAGCTGAACTATAAGGGGTCTTTAGAAATTAGCTTGGGAGCAGGTATCTCTGAAGAAAAGAGACCACTGAGCCATATTAAGGGGAGAGATTAATGGTGCACAGACTACTCTGGACAATGGGGATGATGCTGTTTTCTTGCCATTCTTTTTCTAGAAGATATTGAAAATACACAAACTAAGATAAAGGCAGAAAAAATGCTTAGAGCAAAGAGCCTCACAGAGTTCACAGCAAGTGGGTAAACATAAGGATACAGAATTGTAGTTGGAATTAGAAGGATGGAAATATCTGATGCAAGTGGTTCATTCTGGAAATGTAGGGAATGGAGAAATTAATGCCGAGTAGAGAGATTTGGATGATGTTTAGGGACATTGGTCTTTGAAAAATGTGTATAAGTAGAGATTATAAATAAAGGGCATTGAGGTTTAAGCAATAGATTTTGAAGAAGCAAGGCAGTCCAGCAGTGCTTGACACACTAATAGGTGTGGTGAATCACATGCTTGGAGACCCAGGTGAATGGCAGTTTGAGATTGTACCTTTGTCCAGTGGCTCAAGACTGCAGAACCAGCCTGGTGGATTCGAGGTATGAATTCTAGGTTCTGCTGCTTGCAGTGCAATCTTTGGCACAGTTAATGAACCTCTCTGTGCCTCAATTTCCCATCTCTAAAATAAAAGGCATAATAAAAGCACTCCTCTCATTTATTGTGAGGATTAAATGAATTAGAACACCTGATACACAGTACGTGCTAAACATGTTTGTTGTTTCTTTAACTTTTAAATTTTCTTTTTTCCCCAGCTTTATTGAGGTATAATTGACAAAATTGTAAGCTTTTTAAAATATACATTATAATGATTTGATGTATGTATATACTGTTAATGAATTTTTCTCGTCTAGTTAATTAGCATGCCCATTACTATATATATAGAGTGTGTGTGTGAGAACACTTAAGTTCTACTCTCTTAACTTCAATTATACAATATTATTAAATTTCTGAAGTTATATTTGCACATAGTAAGAATAATGCACAACAAAGAAGAGCTTAAAATGAAAACTAAAACCCATCACCTTCTGATCCTAGCTCAGAGTACAGTCTCTTCTCAGAGACTGTTTATGTTTTTAGTTCTTCTAGAACTAAATTACCATGAAATTTAGTGGCTTGACCAATTGTTTCATGGTATTGTGGATTCTGTGGTTCTGGGAGTTAGGCAGGGCTTTGCCAGGTGCTTCTGCTCCTTGTGATGTTGTCGAGGTCTCTCAGTGGCACCCAGCTGGGCTAGTCAGAATGGGCTAGTCAGGAGGGTCCAAGAAGGCTTTGCTCCCAAGTTGTATGCCTTAACAGGGGATGGCTGGAAGGCTGAGCTCAGAACACCTACATATGGTACCTCACGCATGGTGGCCCTAGATAGTTAAGACTACTTACATGGCTACCAGATTCCTCCATGTAGTCATGCTTCACTGAGTGATGTGGATATATTCTAAGAAACACATCATTGGACAGTTCCATCATTGTGCGAACATCAAAGAGTGTACTTACACAAATCTAGATGGTATAGCCTACTGCTTCTAGGCTACAAATCTATACAACATGTTACTCTACAAAACACAAGATTAAATCAAGTACAAGAGAAAATGATACAATCAAGAGACAGTAATCACAAGTCTGCTTCCGGTGTAACATAGCATACTGTTGTACACTAGACTTTTTTTAGTAAGTAGAAAGAGTACACTCTAAAATAACGATAAAAATATAGTATAGTAAATATATAAACCAGGAACATAGTCGTTTATTATCATCAAATATTAGGTACTGTACAGAATTGTACATGCTCTACTTTTATACGATTGGCAGCACAATAGGTTTGTTTACACCAGCCTCACCACAAACACATGAGTAGTACATAGTGCTACAGCTTTATGATGGTTACGATATCACTAGGCGATAGGAATTTTTCAGCTCCATTAT